CTCTGCATCTGCGGACCAGGAAAATGTCTCTGTACCTGTGATTGGCGCTGCGCGCTGTCAGCTTCCTGGCGGGCTCGGCACGTGGAGCTGCAAACATGCCCGAGCCCATCCTTATATACATATACTAAACTAAAGAAGGATAGAAGGAATGCATAGGTCACATAATGGTTTTGGTATCCATTTGCGATAAGGATTGTTTTCCTTCAGTTTTTTTTTTTTTTTTATAGATTCTTAAAACTGGTTTGGCAATTCCAAACTTTTCTGCTTACTACTCTGTCTCAGCTTCATCGATTTAAAAGGTCCCAATTCTGAAATATTTTATGTGGCTCCCCCTATCTGACTAAAGGATCCACCCTCTCTTCCTTGACTAGACTCCTAGACTTTCTAAGCTGGCAGACAGAGCAGGAAAATCTCCCCAGAAGGGACACAGACTGCAAAAAAAAGGAAAACATTTCAGTAGCGTGGGGAAGATAAAGGTTTTTTGGTCAGGTAAATGCACAGGTTTAATACTATGAAGAGATCTGGCAGCACATTCGCCATCTTCACATTAGCCACTAAAAAGTAGCTACCACACCTTAAACATTCTCTGGTTTTTACCAGGTTGTACAGTCCCCCAGTGCACACCTGATTTCTGTTTGTATCTATGAATTCTGAAACTATTGGTATAAAAAGGAGGCGCTTGTTTCTGCTGCTGAATAAGGGATTATGGTTCTACCAGCTGATGGGATCAGACCACCCACAACTAACATTTTGTTCATTTGCTGATGACCCTTCTGGCTTCTTACAGTTGTTAGGGACTTTGGGAACAAGATTCACCAGCCTTTTCCCAAAATGATGTCTTATCTCCTCTTGCTGCATCAGGAGAATTATCATTCTGCTGCAATCTCTTTAATTGGAAGTACAGTAAATACAAAATTGAACAGAACTATGGGGGCAAGGTTGAACCTGGGAAATCAAGGGTATAGGTCACATTTAAGCTGGCCATACACCTATAGATTATCTGCAGATTTTCTAGGGTCAGATGGAAAAAGTGCAACAGATTCCTCCATCTACGCTAAACTGTGCGGATGGAGGAAACTCCCGCTGGGCCAAGCTTCAGTATCTTCCTAGTTGGCCTCGTTGGCTCTCAAAATACCTGAACAATCTGATTGGATGCAGGCATTGTTCAGGTGTTTTGAGAGCCAGCGGGGCCGACTAGCAAGATACTGAAGCTTGGCCCAGTGGGAGATTCCTCCATCCACATGGTTTAGCGTAGATGGAGGAATCTGTTGCACTTTTTCCATCTGACAATAGAAAATCTGCAGATAATCATCTAGGTGTATGGGCAACTTTAGAGTCCCCAAGAAAGATAAGAATCTAGTGAATGATTCCGCACTCCAGCATCTACTGAAAAACTGATATTAGTCTGAGATGGATTGTTTTTTAAAGAGCAAAGGCACAGGATCCTCTGTATGCCTGTGCATTGGATGTACAATGAAGTTATTGGAAGTCACTGGTTTAAAAACACTGAGGAATATTTTAAAGGTAAAGTCCACTTTTAAAAAAATATGTGACCATGTTTTTCTCGTTACACCCTGAATATTGGTGTAACATGAAACATGGTCCAAAAGGTAAATTTAGCCCTTAAGGCATCATTAGTTATAAAGATGTCCACTAGCTTTCACCCCTATGTCACAAGTGTAATGTTCCACTTGACCTGAATTTTTAAATATTTGGGCACTTTTGATACAAAGTAGCTTATTAATTATATATATATATATACAAATCAAGAAAGTCAGCAAATGTAACCTGTTCCTTTTTTCTTGTTCCTGCTTTGACTTTAGATTTTTCTCTAGCTTGTTTCTAGGGAAGACCTGTTATATAGATATAATATTTATTTATTCTTGGGCTGCAACTTCAAGTATAACCAGTGTGAAGGCAGAGCAAAATAACCACATTAAATAAATATATCTGAAAATATTGACACCTAGAGTATCTTATGTTCCCTCCAGTAAGCAATATTTAATTTACATGTATTAGGTTATGAAGTGTGTCTGATGCAGAAAATGTTACTACTAAACGAAGAAAATGATTGCTTAACTCTCCAAGCATCCCCATTAATAATCATTTTCAAGGCTTCTGTAGGCCAAACAACATGTTGTTACTTATCTCTGAAAACAGCATGTCATGTCTGTATTGGGAAAGAGTTTATACATCATATGATGGTGTCTATTGGGGCCACTGTACTAAATAATAATAATAATGTTCAAGAGTCTAGAACATTTCTACATCTTACAACATAGCCTTCCCAAATGAAAGTAAATCCACTAAGACCATAATATTACAACATTTTATTATATTTAAGAAGCTTTCTTCTTTAATGCTGAAAGGTTAACTAGGAAATTTGCAGGCTCTGTATTTGCACAAGGAGATACCTTTTGAGAATGTGCTCTCACAATTAAAGTCTACAAAAGGTTTCAATGACTGACTTGAAGAATGAGGCTAGAAATCAATATTGTCATCCTGAGAGGATTACATTACATATTAACTTAGAGTAGGAGATAGCACCAACCAGCTTTACTTCCCATGTGGTTTATTTAGGTCTGAACTTTGGGCTCAGACAAAAAAAAAAAGCCTCCATGAAGCTGACCCTCTGTTATAGCATGGTCTTAAATCATAATGTGAAAATAATGCAGCATACTTTTTATTTCACTCAACCAGAACAAGTCTGAATGTCAGGAGAGTCACAGAAAAGCAAGAAGTCCTTATCTGTTGTTCGGGGACAGTGACTTAAAGAAGGACTCCAGGAATGTAAAAAGTTAACCCTTGCAGTGCGCCTCTCCCCACACTGTAAGTGTTAACTACTCATTTTGGTCTAGGGAACAGAATACAGAAGATATACTCACCTGATATTCAGTCCTGTGGCGTGAGTTCACCTCTCTCCTCTTCTGCTGCAGCTGTCCCTTGGCGTCAACACGACTAATGCAAGTGAATGGACCAGCATTAGATTTGATGACATCTTAGGGGCTTAAAGGCTGTGGGGAACGGTCTAGCAGCTGGCATCAGGTAAGTATTTTTTGTTTAAGCTCTAGACCAAAATCAGCAGTCAACCCTTGCAGCATAGGGATAGCCACACTGCAAAGGTTAACTTTTTACATTCCTGGAGTTTTTCTCTAAAGTCTCCGGAAATTCAAGGCCATAAAGCCATTATAATACCCATGCACTAGCATTTTCAGAATGGTAAGTCAGCAATAGTAACCAAAATGTTTCTTTCAGGAAATGTTTTCTTTACAACTAAAAGATGTGTAACATTTTTGATATTTTTGCAGACTTTTCTAATTAAAACTTCAGGAAATGATTGTTACATTTGTATTTCAGAAACTTAGGTTAGCAAGACTTGTATCTACAAACAACATGTGTGTTGCAGTTACCCACCGAATTACCTTCATTTAATAACATTGTAATTAGTGTTGCTGAAGGGAGCACAAAAAAACACAAAAACTAGAAGCAGGCTTTATTATCTCATTTGTGAGTTTAGACTAGTACTAAGCACCTTTGACCATCTGTAGGGGCCCTTTAAAGTACAAGATAGTAACTGGCTTTATTATCTGGATTGAGAGACTAGACTAGCAGTATGCACCTTGGCCACCGTGGCAAGTGAAAACAGCCTATCATGGGTGTACATGTCCTCAATGGAGACGTCTGCTAGCCAGAAGCAGCCCAGTAACAGAGTGGCTGTGTCTCCTAGCTGTAGTGTGGGCGTTAATGGTATTCTGCTCAGGTATCCATGCAGATCGCTGCTCACTTAGAAAATGAAAGCACTACTTTTTTTGCTGCAAGTGCTCTGACGTAAAGCCCAATCATAGGGATCACCACAATAAACGCTGGCAGCATCTCTGGAGTGTGCTAAACCTGCTAAAGCTTCAGGCTAAGGGCTGTTTCATGCTATGATGTATATTGTGCATCCTAATAAGAAGCGTCTGCTAAAAGGGCAAAGGAAAAGTAATTGCTTTGAAATAAACTCTCCTAGGAAAAGAGGGCCTGTGTGTGTGTCATTATATGCCCTTAGGCTATACAAAAACACACAGCAGTTGTCTACCTCAATCAATTTGTAGCATCAGTCCTAATTAAAGTGCATCTCTATAGCCAAAACCTTATTTTCTAATTCTGGCTTGAGTAGGGAAAAGTTGGCGCTCCATCTGGTTTTGTGTTGCCTGTGCCTAATAAATATATATATATATATATAATTTGTAAAGGGAAATTTGCCGTTTCTGTTTGGCTTGTTGACCACTGTCTTTTTTTTGTTGTCACCAAACTATAGAGGTGAATATCTTAATGGGGGTACCTGTTCTGGTGACAGCTGTCCAAGAAGGAGTTTTCTTGATTTTAAAGAGGAACTCCAGTGATTAAAAAAATTAACTCTTACAGTGGGGCTACCCCTGCACTGCAAGGGTTAACTGCTTGTTTTGGTCTAGGGGCCATAATAAAGAAGATATACTCACCTGATCCTTGGTCCTGTGGTGGTAGCATTCACCTCTCTCATCTTCCACTGCGGCTGGTATGTGTGAATGGACCTGCATTAGACGTGATGACATCAGTGGGGCTTAGACTGCCAGAGTCCAGAGGAGAAGGCGCTACGAGGACTGACTGGTCTAGCAGCCAGACGGACCAAGGATCAGGTGAGTATATCTTCTTTATTTGTACCCCTAGACCAAAATGAGTAGCTAACCCTTGCAGTGAGGGGGTAGCCCCAATGCAAGGGTTAATTTTTTAGATTCCTGGAGTCCCTCTTTAAAGAGAAAACTGTCTAATGGGACCAAACTAGAAATAAAAACATTGCAGTGGTTCTAACCATTCAATTTTCAAGATGAAAAACGTTTTGGCTAGAGATTCACATTAACCATATAATCCTCAATGCAGCAATCACAATACAGAAATCCATGCAGGTTCTATTGAATAAAAACCCCAAAGAGCAATAGCTACATTTCAACGACTTTTATTTCGTTGGGTACAAAAGTTTTCAGCATTCGTGGCAAAATATTTTATCACATTAACGAATATACACACACACACATAGTCACACAAAGTATTTCCATCTCATTCAGTCCTAAAAACGCAACACTGTTTTGGCAGTACAGCAGCTGAAATAAAGTGCGATATTGAAGCGACCATTGGACGTATTCACTTCACATGAGTTGTGTAGGAGACATCCACATTGTTCCAAAAGACTCAGTTGGACCATTCCCACATGTAAAGTGCTAATGTTTTAAAGTCTCTTCTCAACAAGTACACAACATAAACCTAGAAGTCCATAGCAGGCACTATTAATTCACTAGATTGTCATTTGTGTAGTGCTATCAGTAAAAATGTCTCTTCTTAAACATCACTGGGCGATCTAGATCGAAAGGACACTTTGGATTGAAAGCAGCCACAGAAAAGGACCCACATGGATCTTTGTATTTCGTGGTTTCTATAGGCGTAGATGATAGGGTTGATCATGGAGTTGTAAGTGGCAGGTAAAAGTGTGGCGTACGTATACACCGAGGGATAGTCTTGGTCTCCTACCACACAGTAAATAGCAAAAGGCAACCAACTGGCCCCAAATGTCCCAAGAATAATGGCCAGGGTAGAGACTCCCTTTTTAGTGGCTACATAGTGGGATGCTGCCAAGAAATGTTGCTGTAGTGCTATCTGGTGAGCATGCCTGCAAACTATTTTGCAGATTTTGATGTAAAGATGCAGCATCAAAATAAATATGACAAAGAAGGAGGTGGATAACAGAGTCACATTACTTTTGGTCAGAGGTCTGACAATGCTGCAAGAGGAGATGTCATCTAGGCAGTTCCAGCCCAGCACTGGAAGGAGTCCTAAACATATTGACACCCCCCAGGTGACCACAAGCATGAGATGTATCCAGAGGATTGTCTTCTCTGAAGAGTAAGTCAGTGCATTGTAGAGTGACAGGTACCGGTCAACCGTGATGGCCAGCAAACTGCTGACAGAGGCAGTGAAAGAGGCCACCAGGAACCCCACGGTGATAAGGCTAATAGTCTCTGACTGGATCACATACTGGAACACAAAATTGAGGATCAAACCAAAGCCAGCCAGGAGATCTGCAGTAGCTAGGCTTCCGATGAGCACGAACATGGGGGTTCTCAGCGTTGGGGTGTAAAAGATAATAGCCACCACTATAGCATTCTCACAGGCGATGATGGTCCCAGAGATGCACAACATAATATCCCAAGGGTTGATGGTAAAAATAGAGAAGAAAGCAGACAACTCCAGAGAAGCATTGACATCGCTAGTCTGGATCCAGGGAAGAGAGAAGCTGGTATCGTTTTCATTAAGGCTTTCATTCATCTCTCCAGTGGATGGGTGCCTGGAAAAGAAGGAGAACAGATTAGAAGGATTCACCTACAACCTACAAGGATTCACCTGCACAGCGTGTGCACAGTAAGCCGATCTGCCGGCTACCTCTGTCCATGGTGCTGAAACTACGCGCTGTGCAGATGACAGCTCAAAGGTCATCTTAAATCACAACTATTCTCTTTATAGATTATAAATACATGAACGCTACAATTGTCATTGCATGCCACCCCCAACAGTCATGCTACAATGATACATCAGCAATACAATATATGGGAGTCTATTTTGCAAGCATGCCCCAACATTGAGGGATCGCTGTCTAGAAGAGGGCATAGTCGTTACCTTTAGCAAGGCTCAGCAGAACATCTTAGATGTACCGTAGTGATGATGGCTGGAGCACATGAATGAGATCAGGCTTGTCGGTGAGCATGCAGCACTTGGCTCCGTCCGCTGACCTGCCGGTAGAAGGACTGGCGATGGTGACAGGTGTGCAGAGGATGATGTAGGATGCTCAATGCTGTACAGGCTGACTGAATGCTGGAGAAAGGGGTGGGCTTGATATAAGAGGAGGAGACAGCAGAGATGTTGGGGCTGGCTTCCAGGGCTGGAGAAAACGTGTTTCTGCTGCTCACATGGGCATCATAACCTGGAGATGTTCCTGGCGTAACGCTGCATGGGACCAGAGGATGACAAACCTTTGACGTCCATAGAAAGCAAGCTGGCAAGGAGCTGAGACCAACTGATGCAGCAGGCAAACCTTCACTGGCGTCTTCCACCGAGAATACATAATAATATCAACTGACACACAATAGACTTTCACTATAATGATATACTGTAAGTTATATCAATAGATCGCATTTGCCTTTCCAGATTAGGTTTCTTAAGAATGCTGAAGCATCTGTATAATTTGCTGTGACTGTTATGTGCAGGTCTGGTGGTCCACACAGTGCTAGCAGCAAACAAGGCAAGGGGAAATTCTAATAATAATATTAATGATAAATAATACATGGACACTTCTTCAGGAAAGAAAAAATATGCATTTATTATTTTTTTGCATAGGAGCCAGTAAAGCTTTACAACCACAATCAGTGGATCACAGATGCAATGCTCTGGCCCCTGCAGACTACTTCTACCGTCCAGGTACCCACATTCGGTGATGAAATATTAGCCATAGCAGCCCATGTGGCTGCTTTGGGCTCTGGGGTAGGAGGGGGTCCTATTAGGGGGGCTAGATAGGAAGACTAAACAGTGAGGTTTCTAGTATAGAAGGGCTAAAGTCAGACCTCAGGATCGTCTAGTCCAGGGGTGGGCAGCTCTGGCCCTCCAGCTGTGCTTTAACTACCAATTCCAATATGCTTCTGACACTGGGATTCATGCCTGTAACTGTCAGTCTTGCAATGCCTTATGGGAGTTGTAGTTCCACAACAGCTGGAGGGCCAGAGTTGCCCACCCAGGTCTAGTCATAGATCTCCCTCCATGCAGTAAGAAGTATTTGGTTATCTGTCTTAGCAGTGTAGATTTATTGTCTCCTGACCTTCTTGTACAGACTGAAATTAACCATTTATGCCTAATGCCGTCATATATCCCATATGTTATAGAAGGGCTGAGGATTGTGGCTCTACAATAAAGTTTAATGAAGCTCGAGTTTAAAGTTTATATTAGGATTGAAGAGTAAGTGTGTATAAGAGCATTAATCATTTTATCACAATGTAAAATATAATTATTGTTATTAATATTAGTACTACTCTAACATTTATCCCCAGCACTGCTCCCTAGTAGTGTACTAACTATGCTGACAGCTCTCTTGCTGCCTGTTCATGGTGCATACTTTATGCTAAGATGAATGACATGTATTGTTACAGTTAACACTGCCAGCTGCTGCAGAGTTAGCTGGGGCACCAAAGTTTTGCTATGGGGCCCCATGATTTGAAGTCATGCCCCTGCATTCAGTAGCATGGACTGCAGCAAGTGTAAATGGACTACAAGTGCCGTGATGTCACCGCACTTGTACCCCATTGGGAACTAATGCTGTGGTGGCTGATGGGACATGTAGCTTCTCCATTACCACATCCTGTCAAATATGGGTATAACATGAAGCATCATTAAGAAAGGTAAACTTAAATGTCAGCAGGTGAAAACTTTTAAATTGTATTAAAGGAGAACTATGGGGTTAGGGCTTTTCCCCATAGTTCTCCTTAGGTAACGGGAGGACACAAACTAGCGTCCTCCCGTCACCCTAAGCTCAGTATACAGCTCGCGGTATACTGAGATGCCGCAGCTGAAGCGGATCCCGACAATTGTGTCTGGATCCGCCCAGCTGCATGAGTGACAGCTGGCTCTGCCTATCTAGAGGCAGAGCCAGCTGTACCCACGCCCTACCCCGTCCGTTCCACCAGTCAGTGCTGGAGGAGCGGGGAGGGGGAATTCAGTCCCTCCCCTGTCACGGCAGAGAGCCATGACAGGATCGAGAAGTGAGCGAACGCCGGTATGTGTTCGCTCACTTCCCGATCTACTGAGCCGACCTGTGACAGTTTCATTGTCACAGGTCGGCTAGAACTATGAGGATGAGTGAAAAGCACTCACCTCATAGTTCTCCTTTAAGTCACTGTAGCAACCTGAGTTATAATGGAGCTGAACGACCTGAAACATCTGCTGGTTGACCTTATCATTACATGAACCCATTAGCACAACTAAAACACAGTACCAATGTATGGAATATATATTCTCAGTTGCTCCTAGTGTCAATATCCACAAAAGAATGATCTTAGATCTTAAAATCATACTAATGACTGCCAGAGTTGCTAAGGTAATATGTGTCTACTGGCAGTCAAGTCTTTATCTGCATTAACACAGTTTGTTAGCCATTGGAGTTAACTCATGGGCAGATTTACAACTGGACCTGGGGTGGTGTAATAGCAGTGTACTTTATATACTAAATGGAACATGGTTGGGCAAAACAGAGCTGGAGAAAGACTTGGAAAAACCGATTAAAAATAAGCTTAGCAGCAATAGTCAATGCCAAACAACAGGTACAAAATGAACAAAATCTTGTGATGTACACTCACTGGCTGCTGTATTAGGTACACCTCTTCAAATGCTCATTAACACAAATATCTAATCAGCCAATCACATGACAGTAACTCAATACATTTAGGCATGTACACATGGTTAAGATGGTCTGCTGAAGTTCAAACCGAGTATCAGAATTGGGAAGAAAGGTGATTTAAGTGACTTTTAACCTATCATGGTTGTTGGTGCAAGACGGGCTAGTTTGAGTATTTCAGCAACTGCTGTTCTACTGAGATTTTCATACACAACCATCTCTCGGGTTTACAGAGAATGGTCTGAAAAAGAGAAAATATCCAGTGAGTGGCAGCTCTCTGGGCAAAAATCACCTTGTTGATGTCAGAGGTCAGAGGAGAATGGACAGACTGGTTCAAGCTGATAGAAAGGCAACAGTAACTCAAACAACCACTCGTTACGTCCGAGGTATGCAGAATTCCATCTTTGAACACACAACACATTGAACCTTGAAGCAGATGGGCTACAGCCACAGAAGACCACACCAAGTGCCACTCCTGTCAGCTAAGAACAGGAAACGGAGGTTACAATTCACACAGGCTCACCAAAATTGTAAATTAGAAGATTGGTAAAATGTTGGCTGGTCTGATGAGTCTCGATTTCTGTTGCAACATTCGGATGGTCGGGTCAGAATTTAATGTAACCAACATGAAAGCATAGATCCATCTTACCTTGTATCAATGGTTCAGGCTGGTGGAGCTTCGCATCATGGGTGTGCAGCCGACAAATCTGCAGCAACTGTGTGGTGCAGTCATGTCAGTATGGACCAAACTCTCTAAGGAATGTTTCCATCACCTTGTTGAATCTATGCCACGAAGAATGAAAGCAGTTCTGAAGACAAAAGGGGTCCAACCCGGTACTAGCAAGGTGTACCTAATAAAGTGGCCATTTAGTCTATATTGGTTTTCAGCACTGATAGTTCTCTGTCTTGAGGCTGAAAACAAGTGTAAAGTCTTCTTTAGCTTTAGGCTGACTCTAACAGTTAAGTAAATAAACCTTTATCATCCCCTACTGTGTAATGGTTAACCTCTAACCCAGTCCCTAAATGCAATGCTTACCACCCAACTTGATCCTAGAAGTTATTACTGACCCTCACCCTAACCATTAAAGCCCAACTGAATGTTCATTTTAAATAAGATAAATACATTGCTGGTGCATCAAAACAAAAGGTGGTCAAAGTGTTACAGTTCATTTTCTTTTGAAAGTAGCTACAGTTTGAGTAAAAACTCCTGTTCTCTGCCAGCAGCATGCTGAAAAGAACTTTTACTTACTGTGTGAAATCAGTGTTCTCTGCTTAGGTCCCCTGCTAGTCAGAGTCACAGTCAGAGCTAGTGCTCTGCAGTCAGCAAAAATCATTATCCCTGCTAATTGTAGAGCTCTATTTCTGACTCAGCAGCCTGCTGAATCTCTGCAGAGAGACCACTGCTTCCACACAGAGAGCAAGGGTGCTGGAAGGAGAGAGGTTTTTCTATTCTATGGCTGTTTCCTAAAAATATGAATTACAATAACACACACTATATGCATTGGTGCCCTGCAGTGGCATTTATATTGAATGGCATCCCAACACACCTGAGTTGCAAAGTAGCGTATCACACTACCTTGCATTGTGGTGTGCTGTGTCAGACAAAATATTGCAGGTACATTTTCCTGTCCAAGGTGGTGTGTTACAAATATATATA